AACAGCAAGGTGGGGTAGGGGGAATCCAGACAAATGCTGCTGTGCCTGCAGTTTCTGTAGGAGCTCCAGCCAGGGAACAGAGCGGAGGGGCCAGCTCTGCTGTGGAGCAGAGAGCATGCCGGGATGCTGGGGGAGTCTAGTTTATCTTAAACCAGCAAGGGGTCTCGGACAGACATTGCATAAACCAGTTTGAATCAAATCAGTTAAGTCTGATACTATATTAATAGATTTTAGGGTCGGAAGGGACCTATTAGATAGTCGAGTCCAACCCCCTGCCCTGGACACCCCAGCCAGGTGTTTATCCAATCTCCTCTTAAATAGCTCCAAGGAAGGGGACAGCACCACCTCCCTTGGAAGCATATTCCATATTTTGGCAACTCTCACTAAAATTTTTTTTCCTGATGTCCAATTTAAACTTACTCTCCTTCAGTCTGTGGCCATTGCTTCTAGTTACCCCAATGGGCACCCTGGTAAACACCATATCCCCTATTTCCTGCTGTCCCCCGATGAGCTTGTAGACAGCCACAAGATCACCTCTCAGCCTTCTCTTATGGAGGCTGAAGAGATTCAGGTCCTTCAAATTGGTCCTCCTAGGGTTTTTCTTGTAGTCCTTTAATGAGATGGGTGGCCCTCCTCTGAACCCTTTCCAGGTTATCTAACATCCCTCTTGAAGTGCAACGCCCCAAACTGCAGCCTGACCAATGCCACAGAGGGGAAGTATCACCTCCTTAGGCCTGTTTCTGATGCACCTACTTGTGCAAGAAAGAATGCGGTAAGCTTTACTTACTGCTTTATCACATGGGTGACTCATGTTCATTTTGGAGTCAACTACGACTCTGAGATCCCTCTCTGCTGTTGTGCTACTCAGTATAGTACCTTCTAGGGTATATGTGCGTTGATGCTTCTTCCTCCCTAGATGCAACACATGACACTTATCTTTGTTATACTGCATCCTATTCTGTTCCGCCCACTTACCCAGCCTATCCATATCCGCCTGGATTCGCTACCTGCCCTCTAGTTTGTTTACCTCACCCCATAGTTTGGTGTCTTTCATTCAACCAGGTTTATCTCAAACCAGTTTCAACTATTCTCAGACTGGTTTATGTGCACTGAATATCTGTTCTGTTACAGGTTTAAACCAGTTTCTGATCACTTAAACCAGTTTGTGTGTAATGTCTGTCCATAGCTCCCCAAAAAATCTCTGATTAACAAAACAATGGACTGACGTTACTACCCCTAAAAACTCGGAAGAAATGGAGCTTCAATTTCAGGTAAGTGGCTTGACGGACAATGAAGTAGGCAGGCAAAACTGGAAAAAAGGTAGAGGCCTAGCATGAGATATTTACCCTAGCTAAAGTATACCTAAAAGCCTTCTAATAAAAGGAAAAAAAAAAGTAATGTACACACATATTCACACAACGGGCCCAATAAACTAACACGGCACTATCACATAAGCCCATACAATCTCCATCTGCCACTATAAATACTTTCTACAATTTTTAGCCTGAATGGATATTTAATTAAAAGCCTAGTATCATAACAGTATACTAAAGTGATCTAAACTATTTCAAACACCAATACAATAATGAGCTGTATACACAAGGAATCATATCTTGTTGCAACAGCGGAACTGCATACAGTTCTAGAGGGATCATCCTAGGATACTGTGTTCTGTTTGGGGAATTTCATTACCAAAAGCAGACTGACTATATAGTTCAGAGAAGAAAGATAAGCATTATTAAAGGCTTGAAAGATGTGTCACTGAAGAAAATTTCTAGAATAGATGCTGGAAGAGAAATTACTTAGGCTGTACAAGGAGTACTAGAACAAAAAACAAGAGAGAGAAAAAATTTAGGTTGAATATCAAGCAATTATTTCTCTCTGAGTTACAGATAGCTGCTAAATAGCCTCTTAAGGAATGCTTCCTGGCTTGAAAATTTAAAATAAGTATGGACAAATTATTAAAAACTAACAACAGAGAATAACCTTGAAGTGATAAGGAGTAGAATTGCATGTTCCAATACATTTCTCCTCCAATTACCTACAATTCTATGCTAAAATACCTTCAGGTTTGTCAAGTGGCCAATAGAACGCTTTCCAGGACCGTTTTGGTTACCAGTACAAAATAGAAGCACCATGAACTTGGTTATTTTTGGACTGAGTCAATTACAAAACATGACAACTTAAAATTGAAGGGGGGAGGAACAAGAGATCATAAAAAATAAAAATTCAGTAACAAAGTTATTCCCCTGTGTTTGTAGGAAAGAATACAATAAACTTCAGTTAAGTGCATGAAAACAAAAGCTACCTGGCATGGAAGGGAATATGTACTAGGAGCCCTTTGAGCTTCTTTAAGTTGTAGCATTACTAACCTTAATTTTGTTTATTTAGAGAAAAAAAAACAGGTGGGAGAAGGTACAAAAGGACATTTTTCTGGTTCACACATACTTTTTAAATGGCCAGTCTAACTGTACATAAACAGTACTACATATTCAACATTATGACTTTCATTGTCTTATTTTTTCTTTATCTGTGCTCAAATCTCCACTTTTTTTTTTTTAAAGTAGCACAGGAATAGAACTATACAAACCGAAAGGCTTCCCCCACAGAGCTGGTTGTAGACTAGAAATGAGTAGGATTACACTTTCTTTTATTTTTCAATTATTAAGAAATGTACTCATGTTTTGGTTTCCTCCCCTCCCCCCAAACAGGTCACAATATTTAAGCACACATAGGTAACAAGAACAAATTTTAAAAACCCCAACATTTTACATCAAGTTATAAAATCAAGACTTTCCAACTGACCTGTTTGGAATTCCTGATTTGAAAAGGGGTGGAGGAGATGTGAAATCAGCTTTGATTGGCTGCAGTATCACTTCCTTTTCTATGTTTCCAGTTCTGCCCTGCTGGACCTTTAAATAAATGTTTCAACATTAGCTTGACATGAGAAGTTGAACAGTGCTATTTCTCATCATACACTGAAAGAAAACAGATCACATGAGCACAATTTCAACAAAATTAAAACTAGCACTCCTGCAAGCAGTTAAATTCCATATGTTATAAGAATGTTATTTGCTGGGAATTATTTGTGACAAGTCTTTTGCAAAGAAATTCTTCATCAGGTGAACCAGTTAAATGTCTATGAAATTTATAGATAAAAAAAACTAAGCAAAAAAGTGAGCTCAATCCATTTACCCATTTTAATGAAAGCCATTAAAACCTAACTAACCACTTCACTTCAGTGTCACATCAAGAGGATTCTATTTATTCACATACCACATATACCTTCCCCCTGAAAACAAGCCATCCATAATTATGGTGTAAGTTCTAAACAAGGAACCTGAGTTCCAAGCCAGAATGGAGGCTAGGACTGTGCTCAGCACCTGCTCACCCTGAGCTCAGTTCTTCTGCTACAAGGAAGTGAGGTACACTCCTAGTCTTCAGCACCATTCTCCCTCCCCCTCTACTGAAGGGCCAAGAGAGGATTCAACCATCTTACAAACCCTGTTGGTAATTAAATAGGGGGAAGGGAAGTGACTCCACTCCTGTGCCATGAAGCTGGAGGGTTCAGCCCTGGGTGAGCCAGCACCATGATAGGTAAGAGACTGGAAAAATCTTTTCTTCTTTATTCTGCCTTCCCAAAACAAGATGTATGTCTTATTCAGGGGTATGTGGTATGCAAATACATACGGGTCTATGATCTATATACTTGGACCAAGGAGCTACTGTCATTTATAGGTGTGAGGGGCAAGAAATTAGGGAAGGCAGACTGCAAGATTTTGGGTTTGTGTTTTTGTTTTTTTTTAAATAAAGCTGTGCAGAACATTTGGTGTCATTTGGTGTACTTCCAATACCTATTTTTCCAACTTGTCAGCTGATAGCAGCATATTACATATGCAGAAAACACATACAGTTTTATTGGGTAAATATGCCAACATGAAGAACAAAACAGAAGTGATTCAGCAGTAGAATGGACATATTAACACCTTCCACCTTTGAAAAAACAACAGAAGTAGAATCAATTGCACAAGAAAAAAAAAGAAACCTGCATAGCCTTTCTTTAAAATCCTGCAGGAAAAAATGCATGAGTAAAAGAAGCGGCTTAAGAACCAGAATTTTAAATTCTGAAAAAGGAATATAGCTTAAAAAACAGAAACAAAAGAAGTGCTGGTTAGGCCTCAGCTACAGTAGTGCGTCCTGTCTGAGCATTTTAAGTTGTACATAGGGAAACTGAAGAACATGCGTCAAGTTACAAAGATAAAGGAGATCAAAAGTAAGCAATATGGAGGAAAGGCTGAAGGAACTCAGGATGTTTAGCAGGCCTGTGCGAAGTGGCTAGTATTCACTTCAGATTCGGATTCGGCTGATTCGGGGGACAGTGATTTGATTCGGTGATTCGAATCACTGTCCCAAATTGATTTGGCCGAATGCGATTCGGAGATTCGGTCGTACCTCTGAATCAAATAGGCCCCATGCACCACCTGCTCTCCCAGCCCTGTCAATGGCTGCCCCCTGCCTCCCCCCCAACCCTGGTCCCAGCCTCTGTAATGAGCCCCCACCCCTCGCCTGCTCTCCCAGTCCCAGTGTCCCAGCTCCTTAAAAAAATAAAAAAAGCCCCCAATCACCAGCTGCTGTCAGGTAGGCGGGGCGATCCCCACTGCCCCCCTGCTGCGTGGGCGGCTCTGCCATGAGCCCCCATCCCCCACCTGCTCTCCCAGCCCCACCCCCATGACTACCCAACCCAGCCCCAACATCAGCTCTTTAAAAAAAGGCCTGCACTCACTGGCTGCTGCCAGATGGGGAAGGGCAATCCCCACTGACCCATGCTGTGTGCGGGGGGGAGGGGGCTCTGCCACGAGCTTCTAGAAGCCCCGATGGCCGTTGCAGCAGCTGGTGAATGCAGGGGTGTTTTTTTTAAAGAACCGGGAGCTGGGGCCAGGTGGGGCAGCCATGGAGGGGGCTGGGAGAGCAGGCAGGGGATGGGGGCTAGTGGCAGAGCCCCCCCCACAGCATGGGGTAGTGGGGATCATCCCCTCCGCCAGGCAGCAGCTGGTGAATAGGGGCTTTTGTTTTGTTTTTTAAAGAACCAGGAGCTGGGTCTGGGCAGGGCAGCCTTGAGGCGGTGCTAGAGGAGCAGGCAGGAGATGGGGCCTGGCAGCAGTTCCCCGCCCTGGTCCCCTTCCCCCTCCTCCAGCCCCCACCCCTTACTTACTGGCATGGAGTCTGGGTCCAGGTCCCTGCGGCAGCGAGCGGGGACTGCTCCAATCTCCTAAGCTCTCCGAATAAATTCGGAAAAGATTTGGAGAGCTCCAAATCAATTCAGAACTTTTTAATGGTCTCCTGATTGGATTCGGATTGAGAGATTCGGCCACTGAATCGGGCCAAATCTCCTCTGAATTGAATCAGCACCCGAAGCTTTGCGCAGCCCTAATGTTTAGCTTCCATCTGGTAATGATAGTAAGGGATGACATGGTAGCAGTTTTCAAACATTTGTCATAAAGATGGAGAAATATTGTTTTCCCTTGCCACGGAAGGCAAGACAAAGGGGAAGGGACTTCAGCTTCAACAAAGATTTAGATGAAATTTCAGGAAAAACTTCCTAACTGTAAGAATAATAGAAACATGGATAAAACTAATCTCCAGACATTGTGGAACCTCCCTCTTTGGACGTTTTTAAGAAGGAGATAAATAAGCATCAGTCTGGTTCAGGAACAGCAAATCCAGCATTTGTGAAGGCGTTACATTAGCTGACTCTCAAGGCTATCCACCAAGCCTGTGATTCTGCAATTCTGTGTTTTGTTACATAACACAGCTTCTACTCTCTAGTTTTCAATATTCATAAAAATAAATGTTCCACTTATGAATAAAAGTTTACTGGATAGCTGCCGAGACAAATATTTACAAATCTGGATTTTAGTTGAACTGTGGTACACTTTTTCATATGCTCTGATATTTCAGCTTTTCATCAGCAAAGTGACATACTAATTTCACATAGGCCCACCAGTCCACCTGTGTACAAAAAGGTAAACAAGGCCCTTCGACTGCAAGCTGTTCAAGGTATGGACTATATCTTCATTTACCTTGTTATATAGAACAGTTTTAGTGCTTTAGTAAATAGTAATAAAAACAAACAGTCTAGGATTCTTAAAACTAATTGGTATGTCCCAGTTTAAGTAGAAATGACTGTAGAGATATTTCCAAGTAATTAGTAGTGCATTTCGCTTTTTTGGAGTGGGGCCATCTTGGCTTTTAAACCAAAAATTTTATTATAAGTTTTCTGGCATTAATCCAACATCAAAACACTGACATAACCATTTCTACACACCACCATACATATACAGTAGCTCACATTAAAAAAAAAAGTTCAAATTTTAATGAATTACTTTCCCAGAGCATGAACATACATTTAAAAATCCTGCAGGAAAAAAATTAAACTTACCCCAAAGAGCGACTAGATTTCTTCCCCCTGGGATGAGCTTCAAACCTCAAGCCCCAAATTCAGTTGAGGCAGTTTTTAAGTTGGAAAACTTAACTATCCCCCTGAAAAGACTAGGAGTATCAGAAGATTTTGCTCTTTTAACAGTCAGCTGCAATGGGAGACCACATCCTTCTACTGCCTAATGCCTTCCTGAACTCTAGCATGATAAGCAAGGAGAATGGAAAAGCTACGGAAGCTGATGTCCTCTCTGGGGGCAGAAAAACAAAGACACTGTAGTGCAGTGGTTCTTAATGTTTTTAGGCCCAAGGCACCCCTCAGAAAATGTCAGCACTTAGATTTCACTTGTTTGGATTTTTTTACTACGAAAAAATTAATACTGCAATTCTTCTGTTACAAAGAACTCAGAAAGACTTCAAACAGGTCAAAATATTTTTAATGCTATGAATTCCTATTTGAAATCTCTGGGTTTATCTTGTGAATCATGTTTGGACACCTGACAATGCTAACACTGCATGGCACCCTTGAAAGATGCTCAAGTCACACCAGGGTGCCACGGCATCCTGTCTGAGGATCACTAACTTAATGCACGGGTGTTAAAGATATGGCCCACAGGCTATACAGGGTCTTGGCCTGACCCCCCACACTGCATGTGGCACATGCTGGCCTGGGCCCTGCACACTGCATGCGGAGCTTGCCTCGCTGGGGCCAGATCATACCCACAGACTGTCACCGCATCCTGAAGCCAGCATGCTGGGTTGGCGCAGATGCGTCAAAGTGTGCACTCCATGAGCACCACGTGCAGCATGAGCATGGGTCTGATCTAGCCCACAGACTGGTCCCATGCAACTCACCTGGCCCAGAGGACCAGATGAGTTTGATACCCCTACCCTCATGGATACTGAAGCAATAGAAGAGAGGAAAAAACAGAACCAAAAATGCCTGGCTACAAATTGGAGTCTCTCCTGCAGTAACTTGCAGCAGAGGGATAGCAATTGACAATTCTGAACCAATTTAATAAGGGCTCAATGAGATTTACCCTGGATATTAAATAAGAAATTATAAAAAGTAAAATAAAATAACTGGTACTATAGTTCAATATAGAGACTTATACTATGAGAAGGCTGAATATGAAATAAAGAGCTGTTTTAAAAAAGGGAAAGCTAAACCTTCACTCTAATATGCTAAACACAAATACAGATAGCTACTGTTTTATTTCTAATACAGTGTAATTCTCTTGCAGATGACTATCAGATGGACAGAAAGTATAGTACAGCCAATTAAAATCAGACAACAGAAAAAATTGAGACTCATTGTCATACCTTACTCGCCAAGAAAGAAAATTACAAACCAAAGTAAAAGCTACAAGGCTGCAGAAACAAAAATCATGCCATACTTTACAAAGCTTCCCAAGCACATTTGCATGAATTTAATCTGCGTGAACAAACAAACTGTAACTAAAAAGAAAACCACGACAAAGCAAGAAGTTTCATCTGCCATTTGTTAGTGCAGCAGTGATGACAAAACAAGAACAATATTTTTAATCAACAAATTTGTAAAATTAATTGAGTCACTAGTGTAAAATGAGAGCTTAGAAAAATAGCTGTGTCCACTTCAATCTCATCTCTGTCACTTGGTAGTGGTATGGGTAGCAATACTCAACAAAAATGAGAGCAACCAACAAAAGCTTACTAAAATTCACCTTAAAAAGATTGTATCTGCCATCTTGAATCTCTGCACCTGGTGTTACTTCCATAATATTGTCTTCGGCCTAAGTTAAATAACATATTGCCCATTAAAATACCAGACTAACACATGGTTACAAGCCTAACTGTAACTAGCCTGTGCCATTAACCACAAAAAAAGTCAATGAAGTGATGGAGAAAGACTCTGGATTTCAAAAGAGAAAGGTGACTGAACTCCTAAACAAAGATACTGTACCAGATACTTATTACTGAATTCCACATAAATGTTATTAATTACCATGATTTTATTTGAAGCTGAGGTAAGCGGTAAAATTTCAAGACCCATTCGTATCCTCTTTTGTTTTTCACAGTAAGCTTTCCAAGTATCTTCATTAAACCCATAGTTGAAATAATCAGAGAGATCAGCACCTTCAAACCAAAGAGTTCAAAATTTAAGAATTAAGCACACGTAGCTGTTTTTTTTATTTTAATTTTTGCTTTTGTTTATAGAACAATAAAATCAGAAATCACAGCAAAGGTGTATTGTTAGGAAATACAACTTCCTTAATACGAAACTATCTGCGAGATCCTAATGAATACACTTCAAGTATGTGGAGCAAGTTGCACACTACGTTTCAAACTATGCAGAGTTCAGTCTCATAAGCATTATCAAAATAAATGTGTGCCTTGTACTTCTTTTGTGGACAATTTTCATTTTCAAAGCAATGTAAAAACAATGCATTAAAAATAAAAAAAGGAGGGAAAAAAGCTAAAATTATGGCTAGAACACAACAGGCACATGCAGTCATTTTGAGAGTTACCCATCTCATTCCTCTACATGGCCTGTGGGCCAGATTCAACCTGCAGAGCTGGGGAGCACGGTCTGCCACAGAATTCAGGGTTTCTTGACTCTGGTGGACACAGCCATCAGCAGCAGCCTCCTGGGCCTACACTCTGCCCGAATGCAGCCCCTGGCTGCCATCCAGCCCTGAACCCTGCACTTTTTTCCTTTATTGTTTCTTGAACATGCAGACATGAAGTCTTTGGCAACCAACCTGAAATAATTAGGTATTTCCCAAGATCACTCAGAATAGCAATTTATTAATTATCCGTTAATTTAGTTATAAATGTGTAGGGCATTTCACCACTATCCTGAATGATTAGGAAGAGAAGCTATTCAAAGTATCTATTAAATAATTATATTTCATTTGACTTGCACAGTATTATGTGATAAGACGGATAACTCATAGTTATATAAAAATATCAATCAGAAATATTACCTGGCTTTCTCCAAGGTTTATCTTCAAAAGAATCTAAATCTACTTCCAGAAGTGGAACACCATTAATGCTTCCTGGTGCATCAAGATCTACCCCTTTAACTTTTCCACCTAAAAAGAAAAGTTGTAAAAAGTACAGTTTAAGTCTTTAAACATGAATTTTAATTAATCCAACACAATGAGTTTAAGTTTTCAATTTTAATAAAGACATACTACAATTTTAGTATTATCAACAGTTTATATAACATGTTAGTTAGATAACAACACACTGGTGTGTTAGGTGTTTTAGAGACAACTACAAAACAGAGTACTCTTTCAAAGGCCTTATAATCTAAATAAAAATACATTTGTTTTCTACTTTAAAAACTTTTTATATTTTAAATGCATCTATGCCAAAGTACACATAATTTTAAGTGGCTTTTCACCAAATTCACTCGTGTAATAGTTGTGTTTTTCACACAAAATGTTGTGTTCATTATCCACATCCTAGAGCAGGATAATGGGCTGTCTAACTATCAACCTGTGGGCTGAATGAGGCTCACAACGGGTTAATGTGCAGCCCCAGAGCTCCCATGCAGCTGTCACTCCTCCATACTCCCCTTTCTAACTCTAGCTTCAGCTTCCTGTCCCTATTTCAAGGCACTGCGCAGCCCACAAGGCCAGGGGAGCCTGTAACCCAGGGTACTGGAGCCAGCAACTAGAGTGCTATGGCTGGCAAGGTCATCCACGTAGCACAGTGCAGTAGGGAGGGTAGGGGGTGCACCCATGCCCTGTGCTGGTGTGGCCCCTGGCTGCTTAAAGTTGGACAGCCCTATCCTAGAAAGTCATAGCAGTAAATGAAAGTTGTAATGCTGTGGTTGAACATCCATCTGCACTGCCTTCATTCTACACAATTTTGGAGATGAGAGAATGCAGAATGGATGGTACGTACAACACGCTATAGGTTTCCCTTGAGAATGCAATTCATTCTTCAACAAATAATGTTTTTTAAGAATAATATCTTTTAAATCTGTTTCTTTAGAAAATTGCTTCAGCCATTACAGGGGTGTAGCATGCTGCAGGCCTCAGGGGCTGCAGCCCAGCTGGAAGCAGACAGAATAGATTTCATAGAAGTTAGGGCTGTAAGGGACCTCGAAGATCATCAGGTCCAGTCTCCGAATAATTATAAGCCTGCCTTGATCGACTGGGCCAGGTGATGATGATAACTGGCTGGCACCACAGGAGTTAAAGGGCTCCCAGGGAAGGGAGCTAGAGGGAGAGAAGGGGGAGGGGAGGGGCTGCATGGCTAGTAGCTGCAACACCAAGCCAGGGACTCTTTCAGGAAAAGGATGAAAAGGTTTGAGGGTTATAAGAAGGGCTGTGAAGCTAAAGGCTGCTGCAGTGAGCCATGGAACTCCCCCTCCAGAAGGAAAGATGGGCCATTGGGATGGTGAGGAAACAGTACAGAGCTGGAATCATCCTCTAAGAGTCTGGGAAAAGACCCTACGTTGCAAGTTACCCCTTGGTTGACTATGTTTTTGCTTGTTTCCTGATTGCTGCTTTATGCATGTGGTGTTTCTTCTGAGGAAAAGGTGCACAGGAAAATTTAGACCTTGCGAGTAAACAGATATTCCACTACATGTGGTAGAGAAGGTGGGAGACTTTAAAAAGTGAACTCCAGAATGAAGATGCCAGAGGGAAAGCAGTGTACTGAGGTACCTGTTACTAGAGTGCCTTGACCTCAAACTGGGGGAAATAGAGGCTAAGCACAAACAGGAGCTCAAGAACTGAGAAAGAAGCTGGCCAGACTTGCTGCTCAGTGAGATCTCTCAGGAGGAGAGGCAGAAACTAGCAAAGCAGGTGGAGACCGAGTGCCACGTTTGCAAGAGGAGAGACAGAGGTGACAACCTTAAAAAGCCAAGCCCTGCACTTAGAAGCAGAGATGGAAAGGGCTAAAGTGAGGTCATCCACAGTCCCACAACGAGCAGAGAACCCGAGTCCTTTCAAGTGAGATAGGGAAGCAGCCAATCTGGGGGAGGATCAAGACCCAAGAGAAGATCCTCAATAAGACCACACCCATAAGGAAGGGTCGCAGAAACCCAAGTGATTTAGGTAGTACTGTTGGAGGTGAGCGAGAGAGGAATGAATGACAGAGAAGCCTATTTTCAGGGGCAGCCTCCATAGGAGAGACACCCTGGAGAAAAGAGGGCAGTAGTAGAGTCCACTGATGCCAAAAATGAGGGAGATCAAAAAAATACCTTGAGGGGGCATTGTGAGGTTGAGAGATGGGGAAGAGACCACAGAGGAAACAACAAAGGGGCCAGGTCCATCCAACTGAGTACCATGTGTCCAAGCCTGCATCCAACAGGGTGGACTCAGGGCAAGAGAAAAGCAGGGCCTACCAGAAAGCAGACAGCCCAACTCCAGAGACCCGAGTCTGGGCCTGGGAACAGGCCAGGAGAAAATTTAATTGAACCCCAAGGCCAAAAGGTAGGCTGCCCAAAGGGATTAGGGGTGGTTTCAAGTGTGGGGGTTGTGGACACAGGGCAAGGCCACGCCCCTGGACTGAAATGTGGAATTCTCACATTCAGAGTGGACCCCCTTGTAAAATAAAAAGGGGTGTGGGACTTCCGGAAGGAAAAATGAGAGATTGTTTGTGGGGAAACATCCACAGGAACTGAAGCCAGTAGACACGAGGACTGACAGCCTCAGATCCAGCGTGTTTGCAAGTAATCTGTGCTTCCAGGTCAGCTGGAAGAGACTGAAACAACTGTTCCACAGTTGGCAGGAACTGCAAGGTATGCTGATATATGGAAGAATAAGAAGGGGGAAAGCCGAGGAATAGGAACAGTTAACTCCAAACATCCAATGGAAGCCTATCAAGCAATCACCATGTTTAATGGACAACTATTGTGTGGCAGACCCATGTGGATAAAGATAGAAAGAGAGAATGCCAGCTAGAGGTCTGGGAGGGGTTACCACCACCTTGGGACCTAAGGAACTTTGGGGTAGGACTTGGGCTTGGAAGGAAGCCCTGGGGGTGGCTGGGGAGTCACCCGACTGGAAGGGGCAGGGCTTGGGAACCATATGAGCTCAGGGCTGGAGTCAGGGCAGTCAGTCTGGCCCTGCAGGCAGCAGGGAGAGGAACTCCTGAGCAGGATGGCTGCAGAAGCGCAACTGACTGATACCTGCCCTGCCCTGAGAACTGTGGGTAAGAGGCAGATAAGACCAGGCCCATGGAGCAGGGGGAACTAAGAGGAATGATTTCATAGACATTTGGGATGGAAGTGACCCCGGAGAATCATCGAGTCCAGCCTCCTGCCCAAGGGGCAGGAAGTCAGCAAGGATCATAGCATCCCAGCAAGATAAGCATCCAAATGTGTCTTGAAGGTGTTCGAAGTGGGTGCTTGAACCACCTCCGGCGGCAGTCTATTCCAAACCTTGGGGGCTCGGACAGCGAAGAGGTTCTTTCTTATATCCAGCCTGAATTGGTTGCAGCGGAGTTTGTGACCGTTCGATCTTGTCATCCCTTGGGGGGCTCTGGTGAACAGACATTCCCCCAGATCCTGATGAGCACCCCTGATAAACTTATAGGTGGCCATCAGATCACCCCTGAGCCTGCGCTTTTCCAGGCTGAATAGCCTCATGGCTCTCAGCCTCTCATCATAAGGTCTGTTTTCCTGACCTCTGATCATGCTGTCCTCTGCACTCTCTCAAGCTTCTCCACATCCTTTTTGAATTGTGGAGCCCAAAACTGGACATAGTACTTCAGCTGCGGCCTCACCAAGGCCAAGTACAGCGGGAGAATGACATCCCGGGATTTGCTTGAGAAGCATCTATGGATGCAAGCCAGCGTTTTGCTCGCTTTACTAGCTGCAGCATCACACTGAAGGCTCATGTTCATCTTGTGGTCAATCATGACCCCCAAGTCCCTTTCATCTGTAGTGCTAACCAGCATAGCACTACCGAGCCTATAAGCATGCTGCAGGTTTTTCCTCCTGAGGTGGGGAACCTTGCATTTTTCGGTGTTGAACACCATCCAGTTCTCATCCGCCCATTTCATGAGTCTGTCCAGATCTGCCTGGATCACCCTCCTATTCTCAGGTGTGGATGCTTTACCCCAGAGTTTGGTGTTGTCGGCGACCTTGGCCAGTCCACTTCTGACACCAATGTTCACATCATTGATGATGTTAAATAGTATGGGCCCTAGGACAGAGCCTTGAGGGACCCCACTGGTCACAGCACACCAAGACGATAGGCTCCTGTCGACCACCACCCTCTGGGTCCTATCGCGGAGGCAGTTGCCCAGCCAGCGGATCATGGTGATGTCAAGGCCGCAGTTAGCCAGTTTGGCCAAAAGGTGATCGTGGGAAACCAGATCGAAGGCTTTTTTGAAGTCGAGGTATACAACATCAATCTCTTCCTCCTTGTCCAGGTGATAAGTCACCTGGTCATAAACGGAAATACACCTGGTCATAAACGGAAATGAGATTGGTCAAGCAAGACCTATCCGCACCAAGCCCATGCTGGGTATCCCTCAGGATACTGCCTTCAGCTAGTCTGTTAAGGATGGCCTCCTTGGTAACCTTTCCTAAGACCTTCCTCAGGATAGAGGTCAGGCTGATGGGCCTGTAGTTAGCTGGATCTACTTTTCTCCCTTTCTTGAAGATGGGCACGACATTGGCCCTCTTCCAATCGTCGGGCACTTCACCAGCGCACCAAGAGCTCTCAAAGATGTGTGCCAGGGGCTGAACTATGATGCTCACCAGCTCCCTGAGTACCCTTGGGTGTAACCCATCAGGGCTGGATGACTTGAAGGTATCCAGCCTGTCAAAGTGTTCCTTCACAAGGTCAGCTTCGATGGAGGGCAAGGAATCTCCCTCACCTGGGCCTCCCTGACCCATAGTGGGCAGGGCCGTGCCATGGGACTGGTGAAAAACTGATGCAAAGTACCCATTTAGCAAGTTCACTTTTTCCTGGGTGTCAGTTGTCCCATCTGGTTTAGCAGGGGTGCAATGTTGTCCTTGCTTGTTCTCCAGCTCTCCACATATCTAAAAAAGGACCTTTTATTTTCCTTGATATTTGTAGCTAGCTGGAGTTCCATCACAGCCTTGGCTTTTCTGATTTGCTCTCTGCAAGTCCGGACCAGAGCAGAGTATTCCTCCTTGGTGGAAGTTCCAGTCCTCCATCCTATGTAGGTCTTCCTTTTAAGGTTCAGGAGGTCCGCCAGTTCCCTGGAGAGCCAAGGGAATGATGGTCTGAGTGAGGCCGCAACCTGGGCTGGGTTGGGTTTTAGTCCAAAAACAGTGTTTCAGTTAGTTGCAACAGCCTGCAGGCTTAAGTTTTGTTTATATTCTAATATGAACTTCAACACTGGAGGAATGACCATGACTAATAGGGGAGGAAGAAGACACAGGGTGCCAGAGGGGCACATTAGAAAGCCTTGCCAAGGGCAAGGCCTAAGCCACAGTGGTGCCGGGGTGGGGGGGAACAGGTGGGCATGTGAGCTGCTGCCAGGGACAGGGCTCAAACTACAGGCAGGCGGCAGCCAAGAGGGCCAAAGCCTGCATGAGAAAGGCAACAGAGGTGGTCTGAAGCTCATCCCTGAGTTAGGGACACCAGGAGCTGGGGGAGCTCAACAGAGCTGAAAGTAGCCTCAGCCTGGGCAAAGGACACTGGGGTGGGGGTGGAAAAGAGGGGTAGGCTGGGATTGAAACAAGAACAGCTAATGTCTGAGGAAGGTGACAACTATGGCTTGGCCAGCGCCCAAGAACAGCTTCGCCCTAAGCAAAGAATGTCAGGGGGGCTGAACAGAGGCGAGAGCAGCTTCAGCCTG